AATGCCTGGTGGATCAAGATCCATCGGCTCTGGCCACCTAAGAAGACGATAGTGAATAAAGGGTCGGCTAAAAACGGGGAGGGTAAAAGAAGGAGTAGAATTAGTAGAAGAAGAAGAAATGGAGGAAGTAGAAGGGGATGACAAAGGGGATGAACTTAATGAAGAAGGGGAAGGAGGAGAAGGAGGAGAACGATATAAAGTAGTATTAGGGAGGGTGGAAAGTGAAAGAACAGGAAGGTTAGCTGAAGGTGCAAGAATAGGTGAAGGAAATGGGGAGGGAGAAAAGTTTGGGCCAGTAGAGGAAATTGAAGAGGTAGGGGAAGTCTGAGAAGCAGGGGAAGAAGAAGAAATAGGGGAACTGACGGGAAATATAGGAGAGTGAGAATAAAAACTTAAAGAAGGAGAAGAAGAAGACGAAGAAGAGGAAGAATAAGAAACAGAAGATAAAGAAGAAGAAGAAGCAGCTGTGGAAGAAGGGGAAAAGGAAGGAGGTACAGCTGTTAAAGGGGTAGAAGAAGTGGGTACTGAAAGGGGGATGGAAGAAAGGGAAGTTGGAGAAATATATCGTCGTCTTGGCGCGACAACTGCACGAGTGACACCTTGAACGCGAACCTGTCGAGTTCTTCGAGTCATCGTTTAAAGATTCCTTGAAATAATTAAAATGTAAGTTATTTTTGGTTTACTTCTTTGTAAATAATATTTTAAAAGAAAGCAAATTGCGAAAAACGATACCCACCAAAAGTAAAGAAAGTTGGAATAAAGGTAGAATGAAGTTGGGAGATACTCCATTTATTTTCAAAAAAACAAAAGTTGGCCAATGAACGATCATCGACGATCATTATTACGTCATTTGTTAATAACATATGAATAACGTGATCTGAATTATTGTTCTATGAAGAGCATGCGTCCATATTCAAATTTTTTATCACTTCTCATTACAAGGCAAGGGTTCACAAATTAATTCACATTTGCACATAAGGCAAAAGATTCTAAATATTATATTCTACATGAATTATGTTTCCATGATAACACAAAAATAATAATCTATCACATTCATGTTTTTGAATTTTGAAATATGATCTAAATATTTGTGAGGATCCAATAAAAAAAAATGAGAAATTTCAAAACTATAAAAAAAACAACTATAATGCCAAAATTATACGTTGTCATGTGATTGGTGAAATGACGTTTAAATAAAATAAATAGGTACTTTATGACTCATCAGATGCTGTATATGTATTTACTCACTATTATTGTAAACCTTTTTCATATGGTGTAGTGATAGAATTTGACCGCTTTTAGGACTTGAAAAGTAGTTTTTGGTTTAGAAGATTTTTCAACTTTAGAATAAACATAAGAAGATATACGACTGAAAGAAAAACAATCCGCTTTTGTCGAACCTGTCAAGAGGTCGTGAATTTTGAAAGATGTTAGATGCCGCTGAAAATATCGTGATCTTGGGAAGAAAAAAATCCGATTTTATCGATCCCATCAAGAAAAGACAATCCGATTTATAGATACTATCAAGTCGTTGTTCCTTAAAAAAAAAATCTGATTTTATCAAGTGGTCGTGATCTTTTGAAAAAAAGATATTTATCGATACTGTCAAGTAATCGTGATCCCTCGAAGACTATCTGATATTATCGAACCCGTCAAGAAGTCTTGATCGTTTGTTAAAGTTCGATTCCGTTGCAAAATGATCATGAATCTTGAAAGAAAATTCGTTTATATCGATCCCGCCAAGTGGTCTTGATCCTTGAATAAAATTATCCGAACTTATCGATCCCGCAAAGAGGCCACTGATGTCGATCTCGTAGTATGATGTCGTGTCGTAATTGCCTACAATGAACGAAGAGCCCTTTTTTAACATGAACTTTATACTTGTTATTTAGTTAAGTATATTTTTAAAACCTATTTAACAAAATTCATCTCTTTTGGAAATGAATATCCTTTCGGTCATTTCTTTTCAGTAAGTTTCTTTAGTAAATTCTTCGATTCTAACAAAATTATTTCTTTTTACAGAATATTTTAATATTGTGCTTTTATTTTCGATATTATAATCTTATTTTATTTTAAATATTATCCTTAATTTGTTAGATGGATTTGAAAACGAAATGATCGAATCCAATTTAAGGCGTCAGATTTTCTTTCAGTATTGGTTGAAATTATTTTTTAATCTCTTTTAAATTGAGGCAAATATTTGAGGTTACTGGAAAGTGATCTTAATTTTAGGATTTGCGATTGGAATTGACGTCCTCGCCATGCAGCCTGTGTATTAGTATATATTAATAGCGAACATGTACCATTTCTTTTATCAATATTTAAATTTTGTGATTCACAAAAATCAGTCATTTTTTTTTTAAAAAAAAATAATCCGAGTATACCGCTATAACATCATAATCAGCTTAAGATTCCTGGATCGCTTTATCTGAATTCCAACTTTAAATGAAAAACAATTTCAGTTACATTTAGAATAATAAAAAAAAACTGTAAAAAAAAAAAATTCATAAATGAAATTCAAAAGTTTTAGTTGACTCCTAATTAGTTATGCTAGCAATCTCTTCTATAAAATGCTTTATTCGTAATAATTATCATTATTTCGGTTTGTACGGATTCAATTTGACAATGCAATGTGATCTTTTTTTAAAAGAAAAAAAGTTTCGAAATAAATTTGTTTTACTTATTCGTTCACGTGATTGCAATTCTTAACCGAATATACTCCGTCCATAAAACAAAAATGCTTATAAATTCAAAATCTCCAATTATTTGTAGTATTCGTAATGGTAATTACATTCAGAATATTTAATACAAGTTCTACTATTTTTTTACGGGTATTTGAAGATATTATAGATAATAATAAATATTTTTTTAAAAGTACTTTATCATTGTTGAATTATTTTTAAATGTTAATTAGATTACCTTGATTTCTGCTTCTATTTCATTTTTATGTTTTGCAACTGAAAAGACACGCCAACATTTAGTGGACCAAATTAGAAAAAATATAATACGGTGTTAGACCTGGAATCGTCTCAATCCAAGCTAACAAAATCAATAAACTTAACGACACAATTATCTCAAAGGCCTTTCCTGAGAGAAATTAACGATAAACAAATAAAACAATTTATTATCACGATTCACTTGTGTAGTAGGTTATCACGATCAATCCTATGATGAAGACAAGAAGAAGGTTGAAAGTGTAAAATAGTAACTTTATTAACTGTAGAGTTATAAGTCTAGTCCCAAGACTTATCTCAATCCCTGAGCAAAACTCTGTTGATTCAAGGTCAACTTACAGGTCTATTTATATAAAATTGCTAACTAATACTATACTACGCCTTTCAATAAGTACATATAATAAAAATAATATAAGTAATGAAAATAAGACTATATAATATTTATAATAAAAAGTAAACTATTCGATACATATAATATAAAGTTGACTAAACAATACATGTATTACATGTATGATATTTGGCACAGTTGACGATCATTTTAAGGCACAATACGAACTGCGGCTAACAACAGAATAATTTGTGTTATTATAATTTTAAGCAATGCCAACACTTTCATGGCGAAAGTCGAGTGGATGTATCTATGCTTGATAATTTGTCTTATATAGTCAATCAAATAACTAAAGCTATTTAATAACAATTGTCCGATTAAGTGGGGTTTGTTATAAAATCACGTTACGGATCATACTATTTACCATGTCTCATAATAATTTTAATCACGAAAGGCCCATATTCATAAAATTGAAGCATAGAGATCTATAGAATCGTTGATTGTGAGTAGGTCTAATATTTATAAAGTTTATGGCAATAAAAACTATGATGAAATTTTATTTCCAATTGGCAACTTTCTTTTTAGATTAATAGGATGCCGCTCCTGAAATATATCCTTGTGATGATTGATATACAGCGTGAACAAAGATAAAGATACAAATCAATGTCATTTATTTTATATGATATGAAATTAAGAATAATTAAAATTGTCAGCATTTGATTGGGTAAGGAATATAAAATTATGACTTAAAAATAAATAATAATCTAACTTTTATAAATATAGCTGTTTCTTTGTTTTATAATCATAATTATCGTGCTCACCAGTATGATGTAGACGATCTTGTTTTTTAATATTTTTTGTGATATCACGGAGTTTATATGAAAATTAGCTATACAATAACGATAATTTATTTTAAGCAAATAAATAATACAATAAATTATACTTAT